TATAAGAACAACTTAGTAGAACGCTTTTGCTTTTTAACTTTTCGGTTTTATTGTTTAAAATTTCAATTGTAACGATTTCTTTATCGCCATCGGAAACGCACAAATCATTCCTAACGTTATGCGCAATGTTTTACGTAAATCAGAATTCCGCCACCGCGTTAATTTAAATGTCTTTCTAATAAAATTGTTTCAAAATTAGAAAGATGGAAATTAGAGTTATTATCTTCGACCATATAAACTGATAGACACTCCGTAAGTTAAATATTTTGAACATCTTTTAGCGCGTGACGTCACGTTTGGGCAAAACAAAACGCGATTCAAGCGAAATAAAGCTTTAAGAATAGAAAACTTTTTATTAAATGTAAAATTTTGTAGTAAACCTTATTACTATTATTATTATTTTTTTAAATATTATTAAATTAATCATTTGTATCAATTATTATTTTAACGCATTTTTAGATTTCTTAGATTAGAAAACGTAACAGTTAATACAATTTTATGTATTTTATTATCCATTACATTAATATACAAAATAACTTTTTATTGATTCGAAAATTAAATTTGCTTTGTTAATACACTTTGTATACGTTTATTATGTAGTAAATTGCTGATCGAGTCAGTTTTGTGGTGCAATCTTATCTTTAAATTTTTTTTTTTTTTTTTTTTTTTTTTTTTTTAACATCTTCACTTCCAACAAGGCTGCAAGCAACCACTATAAGAGTTGGAAGTTACTGGAAGAGAAAAGACTAAATCTGTAGAGCAAGATAACGATTGACTGATGACTTAAAAGATTGCAAATTATATGAATCAGGAAAGCAAGATGAAGGAAGCGAATTCCAAAGAACTGATGTTCGAGGAAAAAAACTAGAAGAATAAGAGTTTTTGAAGCACTTAGGAACAGTCACAGAAAAAGGATGAGACTTAATTGAATGGCGAGTAACACGAGAATAAATTTTAGTAGATGGCACAAGGGACGCTAGCTCCTTAGAGCAGTGCCCATTATAGTATTTGTAGAAAAGAGAAAGAGAAGCAACATTACGACGATGTGACAAAGGTTGGAGATTGGCTGCCAGAGCAGGTCCAACTATGTTTACAATTCGTTTTTGCACCTTGTCTAAAAGAGAAAGAGCATCATTAGAAGATCCGCCCCAGATGTGGCAACAGTATTCCATACAGGGACGGATTTGAGATTTATAAAGATAGAGAATAGAATCTGGAGTAAGAAAGTGTCGAGCTCGATAAAGAGATGCAACCTTAGCAGATGCTAATTTTGCAATGGATTTGATATACGGTTTAAAAGAAAGATCAGAAGTAAGAGTTAATCCTAGAAGATGAATGGTAGATGACTCATCTAGTACATTACCATTCATAAATATAGGAAGATCTAAATTATTACGATAACGATTGGCCGAATAAAATTGAGTTTTATCTGAATTAAAGTTCACCAGCCACTGTGAGCCCCATGCTGTAGCAGAAGAGAGATCCTTTTCAAGCTCAGATACCCCCTCCAAGCAATCTGAGAGTGTAGGCTTCTTATCATGACAAGAGTAAATGGTAGTGTCGTCAGCGAATAATGCCACCTTAGATGTGAGAATATCTGGAAGATCGTTAATGTAAATTTAAAAGAGTATAGGGCCAAGGATTGAACCTTGAGGAACCCCTGAAGTTACAGGATGTGAAGAAGAGTGTTGTCCATCGAGGACAACTTTTATACTACGATTGGAAAGAAAGGACTCAATAATCTTAAAGACGTTACCAGTTACACCATAAGAAGAAAGCTTATGGAGAAGACCAGCATGCCAAACTTTATCAAAAGCTTTAGAAATGTCAAGTGCGATAGCCTTAACCTCTCCACCTCTATCTAATGCACGGTAAAACCTATCGGTTATTACTGTTAGCACATCAGCTGTAGAACGAGAAGACCGAAATCCATATTGATGATCAGAAAGTAAGTTATTTGATTCAAGATGAGAGATTAAGTGTTTGTTGATTAAAGATTCAAAAACCTTATGACAGGAAGAAGACTAATGGGACGGTAGTTAGATGAATCAGATCGCTCTCCGGAATTTTTGAAGATAGGGATAACAGATGCTGCTTTCCAGCATGATGGAAAACAAGACTCTGATAAGCACTTGTTAAATAGTTTAGAAAGTATGGATGAAAGCTCCGGAGAACACCTCTGCAAGACTACAACAGGAATGTTGTCAGGACCACAAGCTGTTGAAGAGTCTAAGCAGGAAATTACTTTAGATACAGAAGCTGAAGTGATGCGAATGTCAAGCAAGGGATCAACCTGTTTGACGGCTATGTCAGGTAAAACGCAACTAGTGGAATCAAGAGATGATATTGATGAAAAGTTCTTAGCAAACAATTCAGCTTTGTCTTTAGGTGAGGTGACAAAGTCTGAACCATACAAGAGAGAAAAAATAACAGATTTGCCCTTATTATTGATACTGTTAAAGATTCTCCAGAAGTCTCGAGAGCCTAATTTTTGTGATGAGATACGAGATTTAATGACCTGGGAATAGCGAGCTTTGGCGTCAGACAAAACCTTTTTACAATGGTTTCTGGCGATAGTGAACAGATGTCTGTTTTCTGGAGAATTGTTTTGCTGATAGATATGGAAGTAACGGTTTCGATTAGAAATTGCTGCAGCGCAATGTGAGGAAAACCAAGGAGAAGAGTGAGGCTTGACCTGGAATCGTCGAGAGGGAATAAAAGATTCCATGCCAGCCTGAATCCACGAAGTTATGTAAGAAGCACATTTGTCAGCAGGAAGACGAAAGATTTCTACCCAAGGGCCATCACGAAGAAAATCACGGAAAGAGTCCCAGTCAGCTTTAAGGTAGTTGTATGTGGTACGATGATAGGGGGATTCTGTAGAAGTAGAAGAATTTGATAATAGTTTTAGAGAGATCAAACCGTGATCAGAAGTACCTAAGGGTGAATGTGGAGAAATTGAGCACTGACTAGGATCCAAAACAAGACATAAGTCGAGTAGAGAAGGTAAATGATTAGGGTTGTCTGGAAAACGAGTTGGAAAGTTGACTATTTGAGTTAGAGATTGAGAAAGGCAAAAGTTGAGGGCCTTATCGCCAGCAGAGTCACTGACACTAGAGCCAAGCCAATCGGTGTGATGGGCATTAAAGTCACCAACAACGACGATATTGGCCGATGGATAAAGAGAGAGGGCTTGGTCAATTTGATCAGAAATAACATCCAGAATAGTGCAATCTTGGGATGAAGAAGAGCGATATAGAACAAAGAGAAAGGCGATAGAGTAAAGTTGTGCTAAACGAAAGCACATAAATGAATAGTCTGTAGATTCAAACCTAGTTTCACGACAAATGGGTGAGTTCTTACGAATGTAGATGCCCAGGCCAAGCATGTGATTATTGGAGTCTTTACGAATTAAAGGAAGATAACCATCAACACTAATATCACAAGATGGGACAGCCGAACTCAAATTAGTCTCACAAAGAGCAAGTAGGTCTGGTGAACTTTGCAAGAGATAAGACTCAACAGAAGAAAAGTTACTTCGAAGACCACGAATATTAGTAAATGATAGGTTTAGAGAACTTGGTGATGACGATGGTTTTTTGTGTTTTTTAGTTTTAGGTACTTTAGTCATTTTAAATTTATAAAGAACTTGACTCAAGTATAGATAGTACTCAGTACACTATTTAACAACTAAGCAATAGCCTCATTACTATTAATAAACCCTAAGCCGTAACAAAGGGCTCCAAATGTGGCCTCTGCAATGCACACCAAAAGTACAAACAGGGACACCATCCATGCGCAACATGGCACTGTTAGTACTCTGATATTTTTCGGCTGTTGATGGAATCAGCCTCTCTGAGAGCTACCACAGAGTTCGGGAAACCTGACTACCAGCCGGCCTCAGAACCATAAAACTGAGTTTTAGAGCTGTACTCTCATTAGGAGATAATAGAATGAGTTGCCCAGTCATAAAAATAGAGACACAAGCAATACCCACGCATTGAGTCAAGAAGATCCAGCGTTCAACATCCTAAACTGGAAACAATGTATTAAAAATACATCTGCGCCAGCCTAATAGATGAGGAAGGGGTGCGAGGCTGGTCAACAGATAGAATCTGTTTACCCCGTAAGTCTTTGCCTAGGAGGCCTTCTACAAGACAGCAGCTGGATGCATGTAGCATCTGCCCAAGATGAGTATTTTTATCGAGACACTATCTCTAGCCTTTACTCAACCAAGAGCCCCAAGGCAGGGGGTGTTTTAATTCGGAGTTAACTTCTCCTAGCCTTTGCCTAAAAAAGCGTATCCTACAAGGCAGCAGGACATGGAGCAGGTTGTACTGGGTTACATGTTACCAGTAGCAGGAAAACCTGACCTGACCTTAAAATGCTAAGCAACATTAGTTTTATAATTTCTTCACCACTTTCATAAATAAATTACAGACAACGCTTAACAATGTTAGTTTTTTCACAACCACCTATACTATTAATTAAAAATTATACATTAGGAAGTTTCCAACGTCCATTTATACAGTTTACCATAAAAACTAAAGTTTCTTTTGTTTTGGGTTAACTATTATTATTGATATCACCACAAAAATCAATATAACCAGAAAATTTATGGCGTGTTTATTCAATTTTTTTTCAAATGGCTATTTCATCTAACATAAATGAACACACAATATGTTGACCAATTTTCTGAGCCTCTTTTATTTTGCTATGAAGAGTAACTAAAGCTTCTTTACAAAATCCAGGGAAACAGTCAACACTTTTATGCCATTTTGTATAATTCCAGGATGAAGAAGTGCATTATTAAATGTTTTCCTAACATAACTATATGCTTTAGCAGAATAAAAATTTAATGTTAAAGCAAGGTTGTTAACAAGGCCAAAATTAGCAACGCCAAAAGTAGCAAGGACATGGCCAAAGCCACTTGTTACAAGGCTAAAGCCAAGACCAATGCTAAAAGTTACAAGATCAAAGCCAAGAATTTTAAAGTCAAGGCCAAGAATAAAAACATTTTCAAGCCCAAAGACTTGAATTTTTGTCTAACGTTAAGGTCAATTATTAATAAAACTGTAGGTAACAATTCCTGTGACAATAAACCACATGTTGTAAAAATAAACCAGGGTTATGCCCAAAATTCTATGAAGTCAATAAAAAACATACTTGTAGATATGTATGAAACCGAAAACAAAAATACATAAAAATAAAGAATGAAATCTTTTAATTCCTCAACTTTATGTACTTTTTTTGAAGACCAAGGCCAAGACCAAGACCAACAGTTTTAAGACCAAGGTCAAGGCCAAGGACTAAAAACTCTGTGTTGTAGCAAAGCTTCATAATTCTGGTGGGTAATGCTTTTTAACTTTTCTTGTAAAATCCGACAAAATAACTGTTTTGTAGACTCAGACATAACTCCCTAAAATTAAATAGATTAATTAAATACATTTTTAGTTACAACATCATATTTATACTTAAAAACCCAATCAAGTAAAATAGGGCATCGTTGATTGGGGTATCAAGAAATAGATGAAATTATCACAATAGCATTACAATTATAACAATTATTACTGTTACGACAAACACAATAATTAACTTATTGGTTAAATATGTTTAACAACTACTCTTAATAAAAATATATATTATACCATTAGTGTAATTAATACTGCTTCAGAAATCATAGTATGATTCATGATTTTGATTCATCATATGATTCATACTTTTTGATTTAAAATGACGAAGGTATGAATGTAAGTCTTTAATCCTTTTTATTAAACAACAATTGGATTGCTGAAGCATTTTAATTGTCTTTTGTTTAGCAGCAAGATTACTTATATTCAATTTTAAAAACTTTATAATATATTGTTTACGATTGGTGTTAGGATTGATTTGACACTTTTCAACAATGTTTTTAAAACCATAAAGATATTATTGTCACAAAAAGTAAACTCAAACATTTACATCAATATATGATATTGTAAAAGTAATTGTAAAGTATGTCATTGTAATGTATTTAAATTAGATTTACTGTATTGAACTATTGGTGATATTATTGTTAACATTAATGATATAGTTATCAACATTGTTCCTAAAAATATATATATATATATATATATATTTTGAAACAATGATATAATTATCAAAATTATTGTTCCTAAATATAATATTATAAGTAAACTTAAAAGTTTTAAATCAATATATGTCATTGCAAAGAGATTAGTTACATTAGACTTACTGTATTTGATTCGCTGGTGGTAATATTTGAAATAATTCTTTGTCTATATTTTTTGGTAGTTTTCTAGAATAAATACTTGTTAATAAAAGTGTTGGGAAATTAAATACAGAAGAAATTGCATCTTTTTTTTGTTTCTTTTGTGAACTCGAAAAACTTTTTTCATACCAGTGAAATATTTACCACAACGTTTAGACAGTTTACTAGGAGTAAAACCTCGCTCCACATAACTTGTATCCATTTTCTCCTCAATTCCATATCTTTCAGAAAACTACCAACAAAAATAAGCATATTAAAATAATATGCTATTTATATTTGAAATATAATGTAGGATCTTAGCAAATAACGATTTGTAGCTACTTACACATGAAAAGAAACCCTTTTAATATATCTTTGAGTGCAATTATATGCAAGACAAGATAAAATCATGATCTTTATATATCTATATTCTATTTAAAAATCAAAATTTAAACAAAATAATATACATAACAAATAATAAAACTTTAAAAATGTTAAATACATTCAACCTAAACCGATATTATAAATTGTTTAATGCCCAAACGTGACGTCACGCGCTAAAAGATGTTGGCTTCAAAATTTTGTGAATTAATTTGCGGTCAGGCGTGTCTATCAGTTTATGTGGTCGAAGGTTATTATTAAGCTCATTTTGTGAATTCTAAGTTTCCGTTAAGCAAATAATATCAAAATAGCTTTTAGTTTCTTCTATAAAATGTCGAAGATTTTCAAAAATTCTCTTCATACTTCTTATATTTATGTGGACAATTCTAATTTTTTTGTTTTCATCGCCATTTTTAGAAAAAAATTCTTTTAACTCACTAGAATAATGAAAAAAACAATCTATTTTTAAGCCATTAAAATAATTAATATCTGGATCTGTGTTTTCATCAGATCTAATGTATTTGTTTCTAAACTTAAAAATTTATAGTCATCTGTTTTATATTTTTTGTTGTTATCATTTTTTGTGTGCTAAACAAGGTTTGAAAGAATTTCTTATACTACTGAGGTGCGCGTTCCAAATTTGGTATACAGTGGTGTGCAAAAAATAAAGGCCACCTTTAAAAAACAATAAATTATCACTTTTTCATTGTCTTTGGATGACGTCATCAAAATGTGTTGTAATGCGTGGTCAAATTTTGTTATCAACACAAAGCACATTAAGCATTTTCCCTTTCATAACAATATTGTTTCATTTTTTTAGGCATTTGAAGTATAACTTAATGCATTTTTAACATATGAAGCAAAATCGGATATTTCAAGTTTTATTAAAGGACAAATTAATGCACTTCATGTAGTAGGACAAAGTCAGGGCGCTATAGCAAGACAGTTCAAGATTTCAAGATGTGCTGTTCAAAATGCAATAAAGGAGGAGACAGGCAGGCGTTTAAATTGCGGCCGTCCCCGCAAAACAACCAGTCGTGAGGATCGATTTATGAAACCTGTAGTGAAAAACAATTAAGCACCCCCCCCCCGAGTTTTATGGTTTAGGGGTGTATCTCAAGTCAAGGACCCTGACCTCTTGAGCTTATAGATGGCACAACCAGACTAAATGCTCAGTCGTATATTGATATTTTGAATAGAAAGTTAAGGGTACACATGAATATTTCAAATACTGCAATATTCCAACAAGATTCGGCACCATGTCATGTTGCTAAGACAACACAGAACTGGTTTACGACAAATGGCGTTATGACCTTAAACAACTGGCCATCAAGTTCACCGGACTTAAACGTAATAGAAAGTTACGGCACACCAACCCAAGTCAGTAGAGGACTTCAAACGTATAGCGAAGGACGTTTGGGTGAAGGAAATTACGCCGGATTATTGTAAAACTCTGGTTCGTAGCATGCCTGCACGTATTGATGCAGTGTTGAAAAACCGTGGTTTTCCAACCATATATTAGTGCATAGACTGATAAATAACAAGGACTGGTACGTTACGCATTGTGCTTTATCAATTAATAAAGTTGCCAAACATTTACGTTAAAAAGTATAGTTATTCTCTGTTGTGTTAAAGAAAACTTGTGAAATTTCATGTAACCCTAATTTTTTGCACACTACTGTATATAACTTTAGCAAACTTACGCTCAGCTCAAAGTTCTTTTGCTTTTGTAAACAGAAATCGTCTTTTTTCGATTGTGCGATTGCTATAGTCTTCGTTGAGATATTTTTATTATATTTTAGAGATATTATTTATTATATCGCAGATATAATATTTATTTAAATACCCCTTAAATATATATATATATATATATTTAAGGGGTAAAAACATCTTCGACTCGATGCATGGGTTTTGTTTGTGTCTCTGTTTTATGACTAGGCAACTCATTCTATTATCTCCTAATGAGGGTACAGCTCTAAAACTCAGTTTTATGGTTCTGAGACTGGCTGGTCGTCAGGTTTCCCGAACTCTGTGGTAGCTCTCAGAGAGGCTGATTTCATCAACAGCTGAAAAATATCAGAGTACTAACAGGCCATATGGCGCATTGATGGTGTCCCTGTTTGTACTTTTGGTGTGCATTGCCAAAGCCACATTGGAGCCCTTTGTTACGGCTTAAGGTTTATTAGTGGAAATGAGGCAGTTGCTTGGGCTATAAAATGTACTGAGTACTATCTATGTTTCGAGTCAAGTTCTTTAACAATGTTTAAAAATGAATAAAGTAACAAAAACTATAAAACACAAAAAACCACAGTCATTACCAAGTTCGCTAAACCTATCATTCACCAATATTCGTGGTCTTCGAAGTAACTTTTCTTCTGTTGAGTCTTATCTCTTGCAAAGTTTACCAGACTTACTTGCTCTTTGTTAGACTAATTCTGTCTCATCTTGTGATCTAAGTGTTAATGGTTATCTTCCTTTAATTCGTAAAGACTCCAATAGTCACATGCTTGGCCTGGGCATTTACATTCGTAAGAATTCTCCCATTTGTCGGAAAACTAGGTTTGAATCCACAGACTACTCTTTTATGTGCTTTCGTTTAGCACCACTTCACTCAATCGCCTTTCTCTTTGTTCTATATCGCTCACCTTCATCTCAAGACTGCACTCTTCTTGATGTTATTTCTGATTATATTGACCAAGCCCTCATTCTTTATCCATCAGCCAATATTGTTGTTGTCGGTGACTTTAATGTTCATCACACTGAATGGCTTGGCTCTAGTGTCAGTGACTCTGCAGACATTAAGGCCCAAAACATTTGTCTTTCTCAATCCCTAACTCAAATAGTCAACTTTCCAACTCGCTTTCCAGACAACCCGAATCATATACTTTCTCTACTCGACTTATGTCTTGTTTCTGATCCTAGTCAGTGCTCAGTTTCTCCACACTCACCCTTAGGTACTTCTGATCATGTTTTGGTCTCTCTAAAACTATTATCTCATTCTTCTTTACTATCAGAATCCTTCTATCATTGTACATCTTACAACTACTTTAAACTTTACTTACTGGGACTCTTTCCGTGATTTTCTTTGTGATGGCCCCTGTGTAGAAATCTTTCGTCTTCCTGTTGACAAATGTGCTTCTTACATAACTTCGTGGGTTCAGGCTGGCATGGAATCCTTTATTCCCTCTCGACAATTCCAGGTCAAGCCTCACTCTTCTCCATGGTTTTCCTTACATTGTGCTGCTGCAATTGCCAATCGAAACCATTACTTCCATATCAATCAGCAAAACAACTCTCCAGAAAACCGATGTCTGTTTATTACTGCTAGGAACCATTGTAAAAAGGTTTTGTCTAACGCCAAAGCCCGCTATTCTTTGTCACCTCACCTAAAGACAAAGCTGAATTGTTTGCCAAGAACTTTTCATCAATATCATCTCTTGATTTCCCTAATTGCGTTCTACCTGATTTAGCCGTCAAACAGGTTGATACACTGCTCGACATCCGTATCACTCCAGCTTCTGTATCTAAAGCGATTTCCTGCTTAGACTCTTCTACAGCTTGCGGCCCGGACAAAATACCCGTTATAGTCTTGCAGAAGTGTTCTCCGGAGCTGTCGTCTATCCTTTCAAAACTATTTAACAAGTGCTTATCAGAGTCTTGTTTTCCAGCCAGCTGGAAAGCAGCATCTGTTATCCCTATTTTTAAAAATTCTGGAGAGCGATCTGATTCGTTTAACTACCGTCCCATTAGTCTTCTTCCTATCATAAGCAAGGTTTTTGAATCTTTAATTAACAAACACTTAATCTCTCATCTCGAATCTCATAACCTACTTTCTGATCATCAATATGGATTTCGATCTTCTCGTTCTACGACTTATTTTCTAATAGTAATAACCGATAGGTTTTATCGCGCATTAGATAAAGGTGGAGAGGTTAAGGCTATCGCTCTTGACATTTCTAAAGCGTTTGATAAAGTTTGGCATGCTGGTCTTCTCCAAAAGCTTTCTTCTTACGGTGTATCTGGAAACATCTTTAAGATTATCAGACATCTATAAGATATTATAAGACATCATTATAAGACTATCAGACATTATAAGACATCTTTAGATTATTGAATCCTTCCTTTCCAATCGTAGTATAAAAGTTGTCCTTGATGGACAGCACTCTTCTTCTTATTCGGTAACCTCAGGGGTTCCTCAAGGTTCAATTCTTGGCCCTATACTCTTTTTAATTTACATTAACGATCTTCCAGATATTCTCACATCTAAGGTGGCATTGTTCGCTGATGATACTACCATTTATTCTTGTCACGATAAGAAGCCAACTCCTTCAGATTGCTTGCAGGGGGCATCTGAGCTTAAAAAAGATCTCACTTCTGCTATAGGATGGGGCTCACAGTGGCTGGTCTCTTTAATTCAGATAAAACTCAATTTTTTTCAGCCAATCGTTATCGCAATAATTTAGACCTTCCTATATTTATGAACGGTAATGTACTTGATGAGTCATCTACCTTTCATCTACTAGGATTAACTCTTACTTCTGATCTTTCTTGGAAACCTTATATCAAATCCGTAACAAAATTAGCATCTGCTAAAGTTGCTTCTCTTTAGTGAGCTCAACACTTTCTTACTCTGGATTCTATTCTCTATCTCTATAAATCTCAAATACGTCCTTGTATGGAATACTGTTGCCATATCTGGGGCGGATCTTCTAATGATGTCCTTTCTCTTTTAGACAAAGTGCAAAAACGCATTGTAAACTTAGTTGGACCTGCTCTTGCAGCCAACCTTCAACCTTTGTCACATCGTCATAATGTTGCTTCTCTTTATTTTTTCTACAAATACTATAATGGGCGCTGCTCTAAAGAGCTAGCGTCTCTTGTGCCATCTACTAAAATTCATTCTCGTGTTACTCGTCATTCAATTAAGTCTCATCTTTTTTCTGTTACTGTTCCTAAGTGCTCCAAAAACTCTTACTCGTCTAGTTTTTTTCCTCGAACATCAGTTCTTTGAAATTAGCTTCCTTCATCTTGCTTTCCTGATTCATATAATTTGCAATCTTTTAACTTGTCTGTCAATCGTTATCTTGCTCTACAATCTTCATCTTTTCTCTTCCAGTAACTTCCAACACTAATTAGTGGTTGCTTGCAGCCTTGTTGGAAGCGAAGATGTTTAAAAAAAAGAAAAAAA